GGAGACTCAGCTTCCCAAACAAGAACCAATGAAGATAGCATGAGGCCAACTGACTCTGTCTCCTTTCTTTCCTTTCACCCTCTTTTTCTTTTGTAGTTCATTTAAAAGGTAAACAAAAATCTTTCATTATCTTTTAATATTACATAAAAATTCTTTTTAAAAGAGAAAACCCAAATTTTAGGTTTCTATTAGTGTATTTTTAATGTCAAAGCTAGTTTTTAATAATTTAAAAAATCTATTCAGTTTTAAATAAAATTTGACCAAAAAGTACGATTTTTATAGGTCTTTTAAAATCCTTTACAATTTTTTTCCTCAGAGCAGCACAATGTTCTAAGAAAATTCTGTTGTGTCTCTATTCCAATGTCCAATTTATGGGAAAAAAACTGAATAATGCCATTTTAACTTCAGCCAATTTTTTCACACATAGAATCTCTTACAATCAATTTTTTATAAATCTTCCATAACTTGTTCAAACCTTTAGCATTATTTAATTTAAAACAATCCTTTAACCTTCTAACCTAGGCAAAAATTTACATCCTCATACCTCCGTATAATTGCATAGAAAAAACACATTTCATTCTCCTTACACACCTTGCATTTTAACCTATTTTTTCAGTAGTCTCAATTACAAATTACAATGCTAACTCTTAGCAACTTTTACTTTTGGCAAAAACCTTATTAAGAATGAGATTATGTGCTAGGTGTGGAGTCTAGCACCCAGACAGAAATGTAGATAAGGCCTGACTCTTTCCAACATCTAACTCCACATGCTCCAGGCCTTACCTAGCTGTAAATCAGGCAAGCTGTACAGTTAAGAGTCAGAGTGGCATTTTATGAAGCATTAGGCATTTAGGGGGCCTAATCACCTTTAAATTGTACGACGTTTCTGGCATAAATTCTTTTTATAAATTCTTGCATGATTTACACAGACCATGTACAACATATTTAGACTTTCTGACCTGCCCTAAACATTCTCTCTCTTTTTTTCTTTATTGTACTTTAAGTTCTAGGGTATATGTGCAGAACATGCAGGTTTGTTACATAGGTGTACATGTGCTCTGGTGGTTGGCTGCATCCGTCACTCCATCATCTACATTAGGTATTTCTCCTAATGCTATCCCTTCCCTATCCCCTCAACCCCCAACAGTCCCTGGTGTGTGATGTTCCCCTCCTTGTGTCCATGGGTTCTCATTGTTCAACTCCCATTATGAGTGAGAACATGTGGTGTTTGGTTTTCTGTCTTGTATTAGTTTGCTGAAAATGATGGTTTCCAGCATTATCTATGTCCCTGAAAAGGACATGAACTCATTCTTTTTTATGGCTGCATAGTATTCCATGGTGTATATGTGCCACATTTTCTTTATCCAGTCTATCATTGATGGGAATTTGGGCAAGTATCTGCTATTGTGAAGAGTGCCACAATAAACATACGTGTGCATGTGTCTTTACAATAGAATAATTTATAATTCTTTGGGTATTACCCAGTAATGGGATTGCTGGGTCAAATGGTATTTCTATTTCTGGGTGCTTGAGGAATCGCCACACTGTCTTCCACAATGGTTGAACTAATTTACACTCCCACCAACAGGGTAAAAGTGTTCCTATTTCTCTACATCCTCTCCAGCATCTGTTGTCTTCTGAATTTTTAATGATCATCATTCTAACTGGTGTGAGATGGTATCTCAATGTGGTTTTAATTTGCATTTCTCTAATGACCAGTGATGCTGAGCTTTTTTTCATATGTTTGCTGGCTGCATAAATGTCTCCTTTTGAGAAGTGTCTGTTCATATCCTTCACCCACTTTTTGATGGGGTTGTTTCTTTTTTCCTGTAAATTTGTTTAAGTTCTTTGTAGATTCTGGATATTAGCTCTTTGTCAGATGGATAGATTGCAAAAATTTTCTCCCATTTTGTAGGTTGCCTGTTCACTCTGATGATAGTTTCTTTTGCTGTACAGAAGCTCTTTAGTTTAATTAGATCTCATTTGTCTATTTTGGCTTTTGTTTCCATTGTTTTTGGTGTTTTAATCATGAAGTCTTTGCCCGTGCCTATGTCCTGAATGGTATTGTCTAGGTTTTCTTCTAGGGTTTTTACGGTTTTAGGTCTTATGTTTAAATATTTAATCCATCTTGAGTTAATTTTTGTATAAAGTGTAAGGAAGGGAACATCCCTCTTTTTAAACAACCAGTCATTATACTTCAGGACAAGAATTTACCATACAGCATTCTTTTTTTTAATATAAAATCTCTCTTCTTTATAACCTTCTTTGCATAGCTAGGAGGCATAGCTAATTCCATAAATCTCCAGGCCTTATGTAGAATTTAATATTTCCTGAATAATTGAACAATTTACAAAAGTCAAAGGAGTTTATGACCTTAAAGCATTTAGCTAACCTAATATCTGACCTACAAATTTAGACAAAATGCCTTTATTTTATCAATAATTTTTAAAGCTGTTTTTAGTTCCCAAAGATTACAAAAGTTACATGAACTAAAAGGCATTATAGTTGCTATTTTGCTTTCTAAATATTTAAGTGCTTATTTTTGTTTAAGCCAATTAATTAGAGCTCTTTTATATAAACATTACATACAACACATGTATAATTACACAGACAGATTACTACATTAGTTGTAAGATTTTTCATTTGCCAGTGTTTAAGTTTCTTAATTGGTTATTGGCTTTATGGTGGAGTCCTTGAAGAACCAGGAAGGAGGTCTCTGATGCCTCCTATTTTTCCCAAGGAGTCTAGGCTTTTAGAGCTTGAATATCCACTTTTAAGTTAGCTGAATTTTAACCATACTACTCTTTAATAAAGTCCTTTAAAATTTCTTATTACCTGATTTTAGCCAGGCCAAATAGCTGACATTTCTGGCTTTTGAACTTTACCAAAAGTAACCTCCCAGGTGCTCAGAGAAAGGAAAATTTAAAATAGTCTGTGGAGGAGAAGAGACTACATGAGGTCATGCAAATATTAAACCAGAAAGAATTTACTTTCTAAGCAGGGAATTGAACCTGATAGCCAGTGTGAAAGGGCAATATCTTAGCTACTGAGCTATAGCACAGGGCGTATCACAATAGCTTTAGCACGTTGTAACGTACATCTGGTTTAATGGAGTCACAGGCTTGTTATGAAATTGATGAAGAGGGCTGGGACTATCTTTTTTGTGGCTTGTCCAAATGACAAATAAAAGATTGAAATAAAAGGAGGAAATAATTGATTCTGGATTTGAAAATACTGATTGATTTGTGAAAGCATGGGTGTGTGAGTGTGTTTATAAAGAAAAGAACTTTTATCTGAAGAATATGAGTCTTTTCTAGTTATCAGGCCTAGAGAGACATTACAATGAGACAGCTGTACTTTCTCCTTGAGCTGTGTATTCATCTCTTGAAACTGCTTGCTATTGCCACATGTAGCTATACATTAACCCAATAAACCCCACACCTGACACTACAATCCACGCCCTATAGCTTAACAATGTATAGCCAAACACTAATCAATATCACTTCTGTAAACCAATAATTTCTGATAACAACTTTGTATCAGCCCACTCCTTGTCCCCTTTTTTGACTTTAAAAATCTACTTGTAACTACTGCTAATTGAAGCATATACTTAGGGTGATTTTGAGTCTGTTTTCCCAGGTTTCAATCCTCAAGCTTGACCCAGATTAATTATCTATTTATATTACATTTGCCTTAACTTCTTCCTTTTAGGTCAATGTATATGTATGTTTGTGTATGGAGCATGTTCCAAAAGTCTTTAAACAGTTGAAACTTCACTAACATCAGAAAAATAAGTGCTATAAATTCACCCCCAAGGTCTTTTGAAGTTTTAATTATACACATTTATTTTATACTTGTTTTAGTTTTGTAGATGTTAAATAATGAATTATTAGTGAAACCATGCTCTAGAGAGTTAAATAAACAAATGACTAACAAATATCATCTGTTTACAGAATAGCAGATTTTTAAAAAAAACAACTTGCTAAAATGCCAAAACTGCCTCTTCTTGTGAAATTAAAAAACTGGCTAAAATGGATTAAAATTAATAAGACTAACTGGAGTTTGCACAGAAAAGAAGGTTGCTGAAGTCATAGACCAAATTTCTACCACATTTCAAACCAACTCCCCACAAATGTGCACATGCAATCCATGAGGTAGCACTAAAAACAACTGTGCATGCCTGAGGACTTTACTGACCTCCTCTTTTCTTCCACCGATCACCTACTAATCCAAGAGGCCACTCCCTAAACCTTTTCTAACAAAATGACTGCATGAAAGCCAGCACATGGGACAGATTTGAGCTGGGCACCTGTCTCGTTGCGGTTAATTTACCATAAAAACCTGCTTTTCTCAAAAACCCAAATTGGGCAGTGAGCTCCTTTTCTTTGATAATATTAGTTTTAATCATTTGAGTCAGTCCCTCTGATTGGAAATAGTTAAGGCTGACTTTAAAGTAAAAAATTTACTGTTTGACACTCACAAAACAAAGTAAGTATAAAGGCACGTTAAGTTTCATATCTGGGTTAATGTAAGGCAAAAACATTCTGTAGATAAGAGGGATTGGAGGACATTTGTGATCCTGAGAGTGCCAATGCCTGGGTACAACAAAAATTCCAGGCAGTATTTCAGGTTTTCAAGGCTGTGGTGTTGGTGGGGTTGAAGTTAAGAGCTCCAAACAGCAAAGCAGGACTTGGGTAATACCTGGTTTACTGTTGGAGCAAACAGAAAATTCCACTTGGGTAAATATATGACATGAAGAAAGGACAGAGTTGGGAAATGGAGTGGGAGGGCAGGGCAGAGGGACCTGGAGGGCACAGGAGGGGTGGGGTCGGCTGGGCTGGTGGGGTCAGGGCTGTGGACACACCCTCCTCTTATTGCCCCCTCCACCCTTAAAAACCCTTTGTGACTTCCATGATGCTCTATGATGCAGGCCTGGGCTTATAGTTAAGCCTGGGCAAATTCAGGGCTCAGTTTCTTCAGGCAGCCATGCTATTCAGATCATGGAGAATATCCTCTGTTTTCTGAACAGTTATACTGAGTCAGGGCTCAGCCCTGGCTTGGCGCATTGCTTGGATATTGACCCCAACTTCATCTGCTTGAGTGGGTTGGGGTTGTTTATGCTTTACTTGTTCTACATGCTATTGACCCTGTATTTGTCACCCCCTGGGAAAAATGATGACATCCAAATGGTAAGAAACCATGGGTGAACACCCAAGGGAGATTCCCTGTTGTTGTTTCCCAATCCTACTCCCACATTTCTAATAAGTTTGGTTGGTACAGAGAGATGGTCTTAGATGGGAAGTCTGAAGAGAGGATAGAATTTCACTCTTTGGAAGAGGCTGGGTAGACTTAGGGCTTCAGGAGAACTAAGGTTTCCATCTGAATCTCTTAGACCACCTATCTGGCTGTGGTGGAGAGCTCCAGATAAAATTCCAAACACAGTAATTCTGTGGTCCCTGATTGGACTATATAGAGTGTGTGGTCTCTCTGAAGAAGAACAATTTCTGCTGAAATTTGATCATGAGTCACATTCCCCTGTCACCCTGATTCAACCAAGCCTTCCTTCATATTGGGTTGACCTGGGGAGCAATGCTGAGAGTCTCTGAGCAGACGCTGGAGCCAGAGCTCTGTCTCTGGGACACTTTTCCTATGAGGGAGCACAGATGTGACTGTTGGCCTGTGAGTCTGTGCCCTCCTTGAGGACTGCTAACTGGGCATATCAAGTGTGGCTTTCTCTGACAAAATTCCCTTTGAATTTTTCAGAGAAGGAAAAATTAGAACTATTTGATTACCTTTAATGATTGTTAACAGGAACATATTAGCATTAATTAGGGAGTCATATTATTCTTGTGTAATCAGTGAGTGAGTGAATGAAGGAGCTTCATAGAGAGTGAGATAAATGAGTCCCAGCCTCTCATTGTCTTTCTTTTGTTCTCAGCATCAGGGCAGAGCCAGGAGGAGAAAGAAAGGTGGGACATTCAAAGGTAAGGTCAGCCTGCTGTATCTGAGCTTCAAGGGTGACCCTTCCTGTTTCTGTCAGGAGGACTCAGGCTCATGATTTCTTAGAAAGTCAGTTACTAGATACCGTCTCAGAAAACAGAGCACTCAGCAGAGAGGTTTACAGAAAAGCGATCAGACCTGAGACATTGCTCATAGGCCCTGCTCTGCCCATTCATAGGCATGGTAGAGTGATAGTCCTGGACACTGGGTGTTGCCTAATAGGTGGGCAAGTTAGATATTGAGGAATGACTACCGGCTGGCTTGGAGTCAGAGCTTCTGCCTCATATCTTAGCATACGTACTTTGACATCCTCGATGCTCGGATTCCCCTTGTAGGTAACCACTGACATCTGTGTTTCTGGTGGTGGTTTGGAGCATCACATGGGGTAATGTATGTGAAGGAATTTTATAAATGATGCCACATACACATGTGAACTTGTTACTATATCAATGACTATTTGCCCTTTCCCAATGATACTTGGGGCTATCAGAGTTGAATATCATAAGTATCTTCCACAGAGCAACTTCTGTGAGATCCCTGTGCCTCTACCTTCATTAAATATAACATACTGTTATGGTTTCCCAGACCAGATAACCTTCCAGAAAGAAGCAGAAGAGGAAAGGAAGCTGGTTTCTTTTCTGAAAAGGTGATTAATTGTTCCCTTCTGTCCTATTCCCACCCCAGCCCCCCCCCCCCTTTTTTTTTTTAGCAAATTCTGTTCACCTCAGGGATTTCTTGGAGCCTGTTGTAGTTGTGGGAGTGGGTAGCCATAGGAACGTGTATGTGAATGAATGTGTTGAGAGGCCCTAGAGTGCATGTTGAGGTCATAGGCAGGGGGCAATGTGAAGCGGGTAGCGGGCACCAGTGTTCTGACCCCTGCCAGGCTAACAGACCCTCCTTTCCTTGTTCTGGTCCTGGCTGCAGCTTCAGACCTCCTGCTTCCTGCAGTCCCCTGGGCCAGCATCATGATACCACCCGCTTTCGTCGACTGTTATGCCCAGACCCCCTCTGTGTGGTATGTAACAGAACAACTGCTGAGGTCCAGCGACTGCTGTGTTGGGAGTCCTTGAAAGATGCTGCTCCCTCTGTGTCCTCTTTGGCTTCTGCAGCTTCTGTGACTGAGTCATCGTTTACTCTGGCTTCTGTTCCCTCAACAACCCCTCCAGAACACCTAATATTGTCCCCTTGTCCTGACTCTTCTCCCCCACCCGCCTTAATTCTCTCACCTGAACTGATCACCCCTTTGGCTGACTTATTTTCACCCTCACCACTGAGGGACCCTCTGCCACCAAAGCCTGTTTCTCCTCTGGATTCCAAGTTCCCTATAGACCATTCCCCACCCCAACGGCTTCCCTTTCCCCTTCTCCCACCACATCACATTCAGAGAGCAGAGCCCAATCTCCAACCTGAGGCCAGTTTGTCTCTGAACACCATCTTTTCATTTAACTATGCCCTATCCCAAGGTATGAACCCCTTACAAAATATTTCCCAGGAAATGAATCCCACTGATTCATGTGCTTGTCGTCACGAACCACCAACCTCATCATCTTTACCACCACAAGACTGTACTGTGACTCAGTCTAAAGCAAGTCTCACCATATTCATGCCTTTTTCAGAGACGTTATCTCTATTTGGTTCTGGTGGGTCATCCACCTATTTCCCAACAATTGAAGACATTGACTATTCATGGCCTGCATCTGCAGAATTCTCCTGGTGGCAGCCTCATGCCAAGGACTCTTTTTCTTCCAATTTTGTACCATCTGATTTCATGCAAGAGCTCCTTAGCCTTCATTATTCTGAGGCCTCTTTAGGGAGGTACACTGTGGTCAACCTCATAGTGCCTGTTAGGCTCTCATTTGTCAGCCATGACATTGTGGCACTCCTGGAGAGACAAGTCAAAAAAAGGGGCGATTTCCTGATGTGTAAAGAAAATGGAAAGAAACCAGGAACTTCCCCAAAACATCTTAGGCCAAACTACCAACTAAATTCTTCAGGGAAAATGTTAGCCTCAATTGCTGATAAGCATGGCTTGGCAGCCTCTCTTCCTTTTAGGGCCAGTAATAGGAAAGTAGAGCGGCTGCACATCCATCAGCAGCCTCCATATTCTAAGTGCTCTGAGGATCATTTAGAGCAAAAATATGTTCAGTTCTTCTGGGGTCTCCCATCTCTGCACAGCGAGTCTCTGAATTCTAATGTTCTTCTCCAATGTGGCTGTTCCTCCATGTTTGTATTCTTCAATGAAATTGCGAGTATGTCTACATTCCAGGAACCCCCAGTCCTTCCTCATCTCCAACCTTTGTCCTTGCCTATTACGCAGCCTCTACCCTTGTCTCAAACCCTGCCCCAAGGTCAGTCCCTGTCTCAACATCCATCTCCACTCACAGTCCAACTACCTAGTCCTCTATTCCAGATTGGGATCTGTGGAGTGTGTTTTCATAAATCTCAGAATGAGGCACAGTCTCTTACGCCATCTGAAATTAACCATCTGGAGTGGAATGTGTTGCAGAAATTACTGGAAAGTGTGTGGGGTTTACCCTCTGTGGTTCAAAAATCCCAGGAAGACTTTTGTTCTCCAGCTCCCAGTCTTGGATTGGTCAAATCCTTTAAGGCTTGTTGTCCCATCTCCATCATTCCTGGAGATTTTCCACTCAGTGCTGAGTTTAGGAAGAAACTAGAGCACCACATTCAAAAGAGGCTTATCCAGCACAGATGGGGTCTGCCCCGCAGAATCCATGAGTCTCTGTCACTGCTACGTCCTCAGAGCCCAATTGTAGAAATATCTGAGTCAGAAAACAGTGAGGGACCCTTACATAAGTCTTTGGTTGAGGGTCAGAGCCACAATGATCTCAAGAATTTTAAATCAAGGAAACCTAGAAGCTTCCACAAGAGAAGTTCAAATATGCTTTCCTTGGAGAATGTGGGGAAGTTTCAGGGATACAGCCAGGAGAATGGCCCAAAAGATCATCTGTTGCATGAACCAGAAACATCTTCAGAAAAGGATCTGAGTTCTAACTCTGAGAGCAACCTAGAAGGTCATATGATGCATCTGCCAGGGAATGATTTAGGGGTGAGCCTAGGTCAGAAACAACTTGCAAATGCCCTGACAGTACATTTGAGCAAGAAATTTGAGGAAATCAGTAAGGGTCAAGTGCCTTGGAGTGTGCGCAGTTCATGGCATTCAGTCAAGCAGACAATATCTCTTCCTGAGAAATCCCACAGCCAAGCAAACCATCAAAATTTGGCAGCATTGGTGGGTGAGGACTACTGCATTGATACTTCCCAGGAGATGTCCTTCCTTGGTTCTAACAAACAAAAGATGTTGGAAGCCCATATTAAATCTTTCCATATGAGGATGCTGTGGGGTCTTCCCAGCAAGGTCCTTGAATCCATAGAAATCTGTAAATTGCAAGAGGACCTTTCCAGTTCCTTTTCCCATCTTTACTTCCCCTCCTTAGCCACCTTCATTCCTCAGGAAGATTCCAAAGATGGGTTCTCCAAGTCTCTTAGACAAAGCACTCTTCAAGAAGAAAAGTTGGGAACAACAAGCTCCATCCCCATTTTGGATCATCCTGACCCTGTTTCTGATATTGAACACAACCTTACAGAGATGGATTCCAAAGATGGTGCCTCCAATCCCCTTAGAGGAAGCACTACAGATTTTCAAGGAAAAAAGATAGAAACAACAAGTTTATCCTACATCCTGGATCATCCACATCCGGTCATCTCACCTGTTGACAAAGAACGGCAGGAGACCCTGAGAAGAGACTTATTTGATACTGATAATCAGCTTATAGAAACTGTCCAGAAACCTGACAATGGCAGACAGACTTTTCTGCCCCCAACACATGGCATCATAGAGGAAGTCAGTCAGAAACAGAATGTAGTAGCCAGTAGGAGCAGCCCAGAGCTGCCCATAATGCAAACTGGGGCTGGTGGTGAGTCAATGGATGAAAAAGAGAGTTGCAGCAATAATGTAGAAAGAATTCAGAGCAGTAGAAAGACCTATCCTGTCACCAGTGGGCCTAAGGAAATGTTCAAGGAAGATGAGCTCAGTTTTCTTCAATCACAAACTAGGAACAACTCGACAACCAGCAAGTCAGGAAGTTCCTCAGTGATAAAGGGGAAAATAAGCACTCTTGAAACTGAAAATTTCTCACCAAAAATATCAGTTCCCCAAGATCCTAAATCATCATCCCTTAAACATCAGATGTTTAGTGAGTTAAAGTTGGCCCAGGGGGAGCATAGCCAAGCTCAAACTCATTTCACTGACATGCCCCTTGCTTTAGATAACTTGACTTCCAAGGGCTTACTGACTCATGTCCAGGGCATCTCCAGTGGGAACATGGCAACTTCCCAGGTGCTGAATGTCCACATGGAGGACAGAAGGATCCATGTGGAACAGCAGCAAGAGCCCACGGTCCCTAAGCATGTCTTACAGAATTGCCAAGTTAAGAATTTCCCACCAGCTACAAAGAGAGTGAGATCCAAAGGAGGAGAGCTTGGTGGAGGGGATGCAGGGTTGGGAACACCCCAACCCAGGAGAAAGAGCCATCCTCTTCAAAAGAAGACATCAGGGGAGGTGCTTAGGAGAAAATCTTCCCCAACCTTGACAACACAGCCTCCTCCTGAAAACCTTTTCAGAAAATGGATGAAGACCTTTTTTCAGAGGTTTAAGAAACCCAGCATAATATGTGAGGAACAGGAACATTCCCAGGAAAAGGGTAGCTCCCTGTCATCATTTGTGCAGGACAGAGGTCCAGCTAAGATTAGAGCTGCCTTTACTGGGACTACTGAAGCTCAGAAAGTTAAGAGAGACATTGGAAAGTTCCCAGAGGAGAAGCTGGAGCATAGGGATGGGATAGATATCACCTGTCCCCAAGAGCCCCTTTCCTCCCCCGTGGAGCTTACAAAAGCTCAGCACAAGCCAGTACTGCAGGCCAGAGCACAGCGTGTCCAGGGCTATCCCTGCAGCTACATGGCTGCCTCCTGCAAAGTGACATGTAGCAAATCTTGCAGCCAACAAGCTATCTTAGTTGGCCAGAATCATCCGACAAGGATTAGACAGATCATAGACAAGAACAGACAGCCTCAGAAAGTTGAGGCATTTAAGGGCAAGATATTGTGTCAAAGGCATCCCCAATCCATGCTCCACAGGAAGGCTGTGCCCCAACCAAATCCCACTTGCCAGTGTCAGGTTGACCCAGTGCCTCCAGCCGTCCCGACTACTGCTAAAAGCGCTGTGCTTAGTGATGTGCCTTTAGTAATTACACAGACAATGCTTCTAAAGCATTTCCAGGGAGGAAAATTTCCCCCGACAAAATAATTCACTCCTAGTTGAGAATATTGATTCTCCCCAATAAATGTTCTAATAAGACTGATGTCTTTTCTGTGTATTGTGTTGTGGAGTATAGGTTTTGGGTAACCCAAGCTTGTGCTTAGGGAAAGGTAGGAGTTAGTTCAGTTCTTACTGACTCCTTTGACTTCTAAAAGGTGACCAATCTCCTGGAGCTCTTGTGGAGGAATGAGTATCATGTGTCTCCAAAAGCCCCTTCCGTCCCTGATGAAGTCTGAGGAGTTAGGCTCTTTTCTACCTCTTTGCTTGAGACTTACTAATATGGGATGGCAGCTTGTACCTTCTTCCCCATTCACTGCTTCATATTCTTTAGAGCAGTGAATAAGACAGGCCTTCTGTATGCAAAGAGAGGGTCAAGGACAGGTATATTTTTCAGAAATAGTGGTTTAATCACTATTTTAAAATGTTGTCAGTGACCAGAGGATCATGTAAGTTGGTGAAAGTGTTGGGCGTACTGCTGGTTGGGGTAGGGTGTCAGGAACACCGTGGATGCTGCTTAAGATTATGACAAGCAGGACGTGCTCATGATTTGGGGAAATGTATTTTGACCTCAACATTAAGGTTTTTCCACTAAAAAGTCACTTTGGGCAACTAGTTCCACTCCCTGGGTATTTCCTGGATTGATGACATTTTTAATGAGCAAAAAGATCACCTAGCTGTTTGTGGCAGCAACGTTGACCAGGCAACCACCTACCTTATAGCATAAAATAAAGGCGAGAGTAAGGAAAAGATGTCTTAGAATGAATGAGAAAGTAAGAAAAAAGTGAAGATAGGAAAAGATGACCCTGCTGGTGAAAAAAGGTTTGTGCCCCATTATGTCCATATTATGACCCTTTCACAATCTGGATCTAGGCACCACCCCCTTGAGGTTTACCAGGGCACCGCAGAGCTTACAGATGCCATTTCGGCAGAAGTGTACATGGGGCTGTTCTTTAAGTACTACAACAGTAACTACAGGACTGTTGTCAAGCATGGCATCTCTCTCTTTAGGGAAGGTGATCTTTGTGCCTTCTCTCCAGCCATGTTGATGGCAACATACAAGATCTTCCCTTAGTGTGTATGGTTCACCTGTTAGGATAGAGGTGTCACCTATGCTCTTCACGAGCTTAGGGGAATATAATGGATATTGTCTAGAACACCCGCAACTCATGATCCAGAGGTGAGTCCTGGACTACTGAACTATGCATCAGGGTTACAGATATTTGGGGGTTCACTATGGACCTTTACAGAATGCTCCCTATGGCCAAGGTTAGTACATAAGCACCCTTAAAACATTAGGGGTTTGAAGAGACAGCAACTCCACTTATACAGACTGGGATTAAAAAATGAGATGAGTTTTCTAGAGGGCACTTGAGGTAGGTTTCCTAGAAAAATTTGTGAATCCTTGGTGTCAAAACGAAACAAAACAGCAAAGATGTCCACTACAGCTCCCTCACTCAACCATCCTTCTCTTTTTCTGTCCATGCTTATGCACTGAATCTGCCATGTCTGAAGCTTAGGATTGCAGAAATAGTTCAAGTACCATGAAGGCCTTAAGAAGGGAAAAATTGGGATGAAGCCCAGGGTAAAGAACTGAGCAGGTGAAGAATCAATGGAGGACCCAAACATCCATGTGGATAGACTTGCCAATAACCTGGCCTCTTAATTCCTCTGTCATTCCAACTTCGGGTTCTTAAACTCCATTCCGGTTCAGTTACTGCCAAACCCAGAAGCTATCATCAGAAACATCTAAGTTATCATCAGAAACACCCATGTTTTGTGGAGGTAGAGTCTTGCTCAATTGCCCTGGCTGGTGTGCAGTGGTATATTCTTGGCTCACTGCAACCGACTACTGGGTTTAAGCGATTCTCCTGCCCCAGCCTCCTGAATAGCTGAGATTAAAGACACATGCCAAGTGCCTGGATTTTTTTTTTTAATAGAGACAAAGTTTTACTGTGTAGGCCAGGCTGGTCTAGAACTCCTGACCTCAAGTGATCCACCTGCCTTGGCCTCCCAAAGTGCTAGAATTATAGGCATGAGCCACCATGCCCGGCCTCATCAAAACCACCTCTACATCTGTAATAATACAGCCTGACATTCTACCCTTTGACCTCATCCTCCTACCCTTCCAGCTTAGGGTCTCAATTTGTCAAATTTTCACACTGGGTCATTAATTTTTCTACTGATCTATCTACTATGTTTTTGTCTTAATTTTCTCCCTCTTCAATGTAGACTTCATGGTCTATCCTATAACCAATATTTTAAAAGCTCTACTTGAAATATGCCTCATCCAATTCCCTTTAATCTTTTCTGTCTGACAAAATCCTATCTCTCTGCCTTTTCCAGAAATGTCTTCCTATAAATGACCAATCACTATTGGATTAAATCTCACAATCAAGCCTACTGACACCATGATAAATGCACGGTCAGCCTTAGCACTACCTGGGAATAATTCACTCATTCATCCAAAAAATACTTATCCTGTGCTTACTAACAGAAAGCAATACAAATGGAGCTTTGGTCATTTTTCCTTAGTCCACTTTCTCACTCCTGCTATTCAAATGTATTTCAAACCTTCTGTACTTTTCTCAAGTTTAGGCCATCTCCACTTGCTCAGCAGATGCGCTGACCTCACCATGTACAGAGAAACTAGAATTCATTGGATGGAAATGTGCCATGAAAAATTCTTCCAAAAACTGTATCAATCCCTCATTTGTTTCCTTCCTAGGTTTCTTTTTTTTCTTTTTTTTTTTTTTTGAGACAGACTCTCGCTCTGTTGCCCAGGCTAGAGTGCGGAGGTGTGATCTCGGCTCACTGCAATCTCCACCTCCTGGATTCAAGCAATTCTCTTAACTCAGGCTCCTGAGTAGCTGGGATTATAGGCATGTGTCACCAAACCTGGCTAAATTTTGTATTTTTAGTAGAGATGTGGTTTCGCCATGTTGGCCAGGCTGGTCTTGAACTCCTGACCTCAGGTGATCTGCCTGACTCAGCCTCTCAGAGTGTTGGGATTACAGGTGTGAACCACCACACTAGGCCACCTTCCAAGGTTTCTATCTTCAGAAAAATTATACTTCCTGAAATGTCTTTATTGTGTGGTAAAGTCTAGTCTTGATGGACTGATCTATTCTTCTCTTGTAATAGGTAAAGAAGTACATGCTTTAAATGGATGAATTTTGTGTTATGTATACTATATTTCAGTAAAACTTAAAGGATTTAAGAAGAATAAGTGCTTGAGGATAACAAGAATATGAGAGCATACACCAAAAAGAGTTAACACATTTTTGGAAGATGAAAACCTGGTGTAGGAGAGATAACTGATTTAGCAAAGTAGACAAAGCACCAGCTATCCTTATTGCTGCTTCCTCCTCTTCATGAGGCACTGAACATGTTTTATTTCTTAAATCCTTTCATTGAAAAGGTGATTAAACATATGCAAGAGCAGCCAGAATGATATAACTCCCCATGTACCCACCACCTAACTTTCACAATTATCATTTGGTACAGATTCATCCCATCTTTTACACTATGATTAAAGTGAAAACGTCCATTTAAACATTTTGCTATCCATCTCTTAGAAGATGTACCATGTGCCATATGTCAATGCTGTCACATTCCTTTGATACTTATCACGTGAGAAACACACTTATGTACAACAGATGTACACAGCATTGATGACAAACACATTGAGCTTTACTGGCTTTGGCAGTGAATTCTCCTTCGACTTTAAGTCAACCTCAAGGAGTCATTTGAATTCCTACCCTGAGTCCACACAAGAAGCAATCACACAGAGGTAAATTCAGTGCCCAACATTTCAGTCCCTTAATCACAAAGTAACTATAACATGAAAAAATATATAACAGTAGAAAACTACATATTGCTAAAAACTTGAGATTGCCACATAAATATTTTCAAATATTTAAAAGAAATTTTTTTTCTATCACATATTTAAAATGAGTTTTCGTGTTTCTGCTTAAATAAGTAGATCAAATATAGTTGTCTATCTCCCCTCCTTCCCCAAATCCCATTTAGAATAAAGGATTACATTAAAAGATATGCAACATCATTAGTCATCAGAGAAATGCAAATAAAAATCACTATGAGATACTACTTCACAACTACTAGGATGGCTGGAATAAAAAAGATGAGTGTTTGAGATAATTGGGAGAAATTGGAAGCCTAATACATTGAGAGTGGGAATGTAAAATGATGCAACTGCTTTGGAAAACAGGCAGCTACTCAAAATGTTGGCATATAACCTAGCAAATCCATTCTTAAGTATATACCAAGAGAAATGAAAACATGTGCCTGCAAAGAAACTTGTACACAAAGGTTCATAGCAGCATTACTCACAGAGCCAAAAGGTGGAAACAACTAAAATGTCCATCAACTGTTGAATATATAAACACAATGTGGTATGTCCATACAACAGAATATTATCCAGCCATAAAAAGGAGTAAAGCATTAACACATGGTACAACATATATAAACCTTGAAAATTTTATGCTAAGTGAAAGAAGCCAGTCACAAATGATTTCATTCTGACGTCCAGAAAAGAGACATTTACAGAGAGAGAAAGTAGACTTAGAACTAGGTGAATGAGGTACAAGAAGTGTAATAGCTAGAGGATATACGGTTTCTTTTTGAAGTCATATAAATGTTTTTAAAATGACTGGTGGTGGATGTACAACTCAGTGAATATAAAAATCACTAATTATACACTTCAAATAGGTGACTTACACAGTATGTCAGTTGTATTTCAATAAAACTGTTTTAAAAACTGAAGGATTTAAAAAATAAATGTGTCTGGGTGCAGTGGCTCACGCCTGTAATCCCAGCACTTTGGGAGGCCGAGACAGGTGGATTACCTGAGGTCAGGAGTTTGAGACAAATCTGACCAACATGGTGAAAGCCCGTCTCAAAATAAATAAATAAATAAATAAATAAATAAATACTTGATGTGACGAGGACAGGAGAGGATACAACATAAGGGATCAGTCCATTTTTAGAAGCTGGAAACCTGGTAGGGGACATGTAATTGA